AGGCTTCAGTATTCGTAGATAACAGAGTTTCCCCATACTCGTCAGACACTGACCCAACTCTCATTCTCGTATCTCAGGGAACCAAGGTTACGGGAATGAGACGTTGATATGGCGGATGCGGACAAGGTCCGGTTCCTGGTCTCCCCAATTTCCCAGGCGCGGCGGAGAACTGCGCCCAACAGTTCTCTGCCGCCCAAGAACAGACGGAGGCCATCCGGCACATCCTGCCCCGGCCGCCCGCTGCTGCAACCACCCCGCCGCGGGTGGCAGTTCCTCCGACTGCTCGTCGCCGAGGGCGTTCCTTGCCGCCGCTCCTGCTGGGCATCCGCAGCAGCCTCTAGCCAGGCCTCAGCATGGAGCTGGCCACAGTAGGGACGCCCAGCCCGCTCCAGGCGCTGCCAAGCCAGGTGGCAAGCGACAGCGAAAGCATTCCTGAGTGGGCTGCTCAGGGGTGGAGGAGGATGCTCTTGAAGTTGCACACCGATCCACTCCCTCCCCACGGGTGAGGGCCAGGTGGAGTTTTCGTTTGTGTGTGAGTCTGTTCCACCTCTGGCTCCCAAAAAAGCAGAGCAAGCGGTACCCACACTTCAAGCAAATTCCTCTGTTCCTAGGTCCCAAGAGGGCAAGTCTGGTGGTGTGCGACCCTGTAAAGCCTTGCACCCCTCAGCCCCCTCTTGTTCGCCAGCACGGCAGCTGGGTGCGGTTCGAGGACCCGGTCATCCGCCTTCTCACGCATCCCTGGCCGTCTCGTGGAGGCAGGTAAGTGTTGTGCACCACACTCAGACCCTGCTTCGGGCTGCCTCCGGGCCTTCCGAGCCGGGTCCCTATCCTCCACCTCGCTGCCCCACCTCGGGGACGTCTGTGGTTCCCTGGCCCCTGGCCCAGTTCGTAGAAGCCAAAAATGCTTCCCAACCGGTCCAGATGGCCCCAAACTATATCATCAGACTCGGCTTGCGATTGCTTTTTGCTCGGCTTCCGCCCAAGCTCAGTGATATTCATCACACCTAGGTGTTGAGCAAATATGCTCCTAAAAATAGTGACTTTAGTCACACCTAAGTGTTGAGCAGTGCTCCTGTCTTGTGTGCGCACATCGCAGTCTACTGGCGAAGGACACGATGCAGCCGCTCCCTCCAGCCGATATGAAGGTCGGCTTCTATAAGCCGTATATCATTGTATCCTAGAGAGGTGGGTCCCTTGGGCCCAGGTTGCCTCTGTATTGATGCACATCATGATGCAGTAAGGTGCAAATCCTTGGGAAGCACGATTTGATCGTCAGGTTCCTGAGGGGAGCAAGGAGAATAAATCTCTTTACCCTCGACCTCCCCTGAGCCTCTTCAGGCAGTAAGTTAAAAGTCCTGTTTTTAAAGAAACAGTTATCCTGCTTGCTTGGTCTCTACTAGAGGGTAGGGACTTGCTTACATTTCGGTCAGCGAATCGTGCCTAGAGTTCGGCCGGCTACCTCTCACAGAATCTGAGACCCCGGCCTGGATATTTGCCCAAGGTTCCTACCTCTCCTATGGGACCAGGTGGTGAGCCTGCAAGCGCTGCCCCGGAGGAGGCAGACCCAGCCCTGGCTTTTCTCTGTTCCGTCCGCTCCATTGTGGTTATACGTGCACAGAATGCAAAGCCTGGACCTCAGACCAGCTCTTGTCTGTTTTCGGAGACCAGCAGAAGGGAAGGCTGTTTCCAAGCAGAGGTTGGCCCACTACATGTGGTTGCCTTCATCTTGGTGAGAAAGTTTTCCCAAGATGCATGTGCCCACCTGGGTGGTGAGCTCCTCCTAAGTGAGGGTATTGCTCCCTCCTAGGCGTTGACACAGAGTGCCTCGCTGAACAGAAGTTAAATAGAGTTGGGGGCTGGGCGACACCCACCATGTTCGCTAGAGGACTAGCCTATGTGTCGAACCGCTGCTTCCCGTGGGCTCCCTTCACATGAAGCCAGTTTCACTGTAAGCCCGGTTCGTTTTCACTGTTCCCCTTATTAGCCGAACCCTGTCGAGTTCCTCCATACCCTTCGGCAACGGATGTGGCGGAACGTCCGAACCCAGGCCTATCACTCGTATGCACTGGTGGAACCTGTGTTAGGCTGGGTCCATATGTTGTGATCCCTACAGCAATCCCATATGTGTATTCTTCCACGGTACGGCTCCCTCCGGCGAGCCCTTGTCTTCCCTCGGCAGAGCCTGCTCTGCCGTCACTGTTCGATTGATCCTCCCCCCTGTTATAGGCTGGAGTCATCCCAGTGACATTCCATATGTTGTAAAGCCCGGTCATCCGCCCAGTCCATATGTGTATTCTCCACATGTTACCTCCCTTCGGGCAGGATGTGGTTTCCGCAGCGTCCCTTCCTTCCATTGATGGGGTACGCTTTCCCAGTGGTCCTGTGGAACAGCAGTGACTTCCTTGGCCTAAGCCCTTCCATCTCCGCCTCAAGTTGCCGAAGGTTCAGGAGGCTTTTGTCCAGGCACTGGAAGGTTGCAGCACCTTCAGTCGCGCTTTCAATTGTTGATCCCATTCAGTCGATGTCGACTACGTCTGACGTCATCGACTGAAAGGGAACGTCCTGGTTGCGTATGCAATCCACCATTCCCTGAAGGAAGGAACGGAGGATGTAGTCCCCTTGCCACTACTGCTGGACCACCGCTGACTCCGAGTTACGCTCGGCTCCTCAGTGAAAAAGCAACTAATGAGTGCATCCACTTCCGTATTTATACCCGCGCCGCGGGGGCGGAGTGTGCGATGCAAGTCACGCACGCCAAATTCCATTGGCTCGTTCAATAGTACTCGAAGATGACTGGCTCCCTGGCGTGATCCCATTCAGTCTACGTCGACTAAGTCCTCCGTTCCCTCCTTCAGGGAACGGTGGGTTGCATATGCAACCAGGACGTTACATTAACCGGAGCAATATCTTGCCAAGGGCACCAGGCAGTATCACCACCAAATTTTTGTGTTTTCCCTCCTCCAAATTCCCAATATAACCACTGTTCACCTTCATGGAAAAAAGGCAGTTTAAAGACACGAAGGTCCAAAAAATTCTCTATTGTGCAGATGGAGAATAAATTTGGCACAGGTAGGACAGACAAACACTTTCCTAGACAGAAGAGAGTGCTTTTGGAAAAACTGACTGGCTGGCCATGACACAAATTGGAAATCCAGAGGTGTTGTGACCGACCTGTAGAAAGTGAAGAAATCCACTTTCATGAGCTTAGAGCCCAGGCAGTGTCTTTCTGCAGAGCAGCGCATCTTTCAGAACATCAACTCCCAGAAAGCAAAGCTGTGTGAGCCACAGACTGGTAGGCTTTTATCAACATGATGCTGAATGACTTTTCCATTTTAGAAACTGAAGAGTCATGGACACACACACACACACACACACACACACACATAGCTGGATAGATAGCTGTCTCTTTTTATGATCTTTTGGCAGCATTTTCTCCTCATTAAAAGCAGTGAAAGTCGAATCACTTGAAAAGTCGATGGATTTTGGCCGTGGAGAAATTCTATCCTTGGCAGATGAACCTTAAATGAAATCACAGAGAATTTATGAGGCAATGCTGCCGCAACCAGAGCTCCACACACACCGCTGTGCAATGAGACCATTCAGGAGGGAGAGAGAATTGAACCATCTGTAACACATTCAATATAATAAACACTGTGGTGTTTTGTCTCTTTAGAAATTTTAAATACCATGACATAAGTATGAAATCAAAAATGGTACATGGAGACCAATATCATCGATATTCATGAGTGTATTTTTTTTTTTCCGGACAAAGACACAAATACAATAACTCAAGTATACAGGTCATATGTTGTATACATTTCTAATCTATAGGAATCACCTCAGGAACTTTACATTGAAAAAAATAGAATATTCTAAGCAGCATTTCATGTTTGTTACATACAACATACATTTCCATTTTTTAAAGATAAAATATCTACAAGGGCTTCTTACAAAAATACATGTTTATCGTTGCAGTACAAGGACATTCAAGGGACTATTCTAAACAAATATTATTCAGTGTCCACACATTATTTTATATTTCAGTCACCTTTTTAATGTGAAAACAATTGCAAAATAATATTTTCTATTTTTAGAAATAGAAATAACTCAAATTTATGTGATTTTATCAGAAGTAATGTTTCAGGGAGATTTTTAAGGAAAAATTCACAAATATACTGGAACAAAATGTTTTTGTAGTTTTGTTCCATGCTCAGAAATTCAAGCTTTATCTTTGCCACATGGTCTCTGTGAGTATAGTTGTAAGGCAAGGCAAACAGTTTTTAGCCTGTTATGCCATGTGGTCAGATGCTGTAGAGTGTCTTTGGTGCAATATGACCAGACTAATATACTGTAATGTGGCCCAGCAAATCCCTTAATTCTATTTAGCAAGAATTAAGTATGGTTTCTTCCTTTGCTTTGAGATTTCTTTCTTTGGACAACTTGATTCAGGATTTATTCCGACATAAAACAGGCAAGCATGACTCAAAAGCTTTGATTTAAGACAGCAATTATGAACATTATACATATGTTTCTACAAAATCCGAAAAAATTGAGTATTACAAATTGTGAGGAAGATTTTAACTCATTGCCTGCCAGCCATAAACCGAAATGAAATTACGGTAAAGCTGAATTCTTTCTCAATTATGATGCCACGGAAGTATAATAACATTGTAAAACCTCTATTCGATGTGTTTAGCAAAGTTAAATTTTTTTTTTTAAATGAGGCACATATGCAGAGGTCACCAAAACCATGTAAAAGAAACTGCATTTTTGAGAGCACAGAGGTATGGCCTATAATAAATAAAACCCCTTAAGTGGGCAAAATCAAAAACAGACCAGCTTAAAACCCTTAGAGGATGTTTGAAGTTCTAATCAAGCCCATAAGCTTTAAACACCAGGAGCCTATTAAACCACTAAAAATGCACATTCTGTCACTCACCCTTATGTTTTTTCAAAACCTTGTAGGGCTTGTTTTGTCCGTAGAACACAAAAGGCAACAATTCTGTAAAAACAACTCTTTATAAACTCAACGTCTGTCAGAATCTCTTCATATGAGGATGTAATGGAAAAGGCACTGGCGCATTTACTTACATTTTCATAACATGTGACATTTTTAAAGGGAGCTACCATCATATGCAAATTGCTGAAGGCCTTTAAACACAACTTTTGCGTCACTTTGGTAAATAAACCACAACACAGGAAGAGATATAAATCACAATGTTGTAAGTGACAATCTTTCGACCAAAAAAACGAATGAAACTAAACAGAAGAGATGGGTAGAGTACATCTTCAGAACTGGTCCATTCAATTCGCTGTCTGTTCATAGGATGAAATTAGTGCAGGGTATTTCAACCTAGCCAAAGTCAATGCGTGGTCGATATTCAAGTACCATTGGGTATACCTGGAGAAAGAGACATGTTGTAGATGAGTGTAAAAAATGTCCTTTTATGACGATATGCAAGCTTTATATTCACATACATTTATAATTTAATCAAAGACTATTGTGAAATATAAAAGTATTTTATGATCACTACAAATACAATATAATTCAAGTTCATTGCAAGCTACCCTGATAAAATCCAGCATTGCTGGTCACCAGCAGCATATGGTATGTTTTGCATGCTGGGATTGCTCATCAAGTTTATGGGAAAAGTTCATCAATAGGTTTTTAACAATTAAACACAATTTTAATATTGAAGTTGAAATCACACTGACATACTGTCATTTAACAATTTCTGAGCTCATGGAACGTCTTTCTTTTAAAGGTAGGGTAGGCAATTTGTTTTAGAAACACTTTTTGCTATACTGGTTAAAACTCTCTTCACATCCTGATAGCAATCAATAATAGAAGTGGTCTAAATATTAAAACTAGGGCTGTCAATGTTAATCCGTTAACGCATTTGATCAATTTTTTCCAGTTTTAACACGTTAAAAATATTTAACGCAATTAACGCATCCGTTTTTTCTGTCATCCTTTGGCTAGAGTTACATTATATGATCACACTCTTCTTCATGCAAATGCTTTTAAACCATTAGAGCGCGACAAGGCAAAAGAGAATGTGCTAGATTCGAGTTCTCTTTCGCGCTTGAACGAACAGTAACACACACATTATACCAAAATGTCAATTTTGTCGCGTATCCTCATAAGAGCAGTCTTAAATGAGTTAAATAAAGTCTTAATTGAGTGAAGAGTTGTGAGAGAATGAGACGCGTGTGAGATCCACGTCTTTGTCAGCAGCGACAGATCTTAAAGTGACAGCAGCCACTAATTATATGACTGTCACGGTTTGGGATTTGTTTTTTTGTTCCTGGTTCTTGTCTGTCATGTGATCCCCTGTTCTAGTCATGTGATCTTGCCTTGTGTTCCCCTGTCTGTTGTGTCATGTTGTCATTGGTTGATTGTTTAAATGTTCACATGTGTCCCTTGTCTCTTCGTTAGTCCAGTATGTATTTAAGCCCTGTGTCTAGTTCAGTCTTTGTGAGTTCTTAATGTTGTTATGTTGGTTGTCCTGTTTGTGAGTCTTATTTCTGAGTTTGTAAAGTTTGGAGTTTGTACATATATCTTCTGTGGAAGTCTCAGGACCAAAAAATGTTCGTCCAATCATTGCATTCGGTCCTCATAGCTCCATACTCCATGACAGCCTTGTGCAAAGGTTACAATCATCATGCTAAAATTAATGAAGCACCTGCTCAGTTGAAGAGTGGGGACTCGACTGAACCGACTTGTTTTGGAATTAACCTGAAAGTTTTATGGCTGTCTTAGTTACTTTGCTTCACAATGCATTTTGCGACCAAAATTTGAGAGTGTGCGACTGAATTTTACATCCAGTCGCACATGTGCGACCAGTAAATTTGCCCTTTTTTTTACACGTTAAATGTGGAAGGGGCGCGTCAATGAATCCGGAATGAGTGGCAGGCCAATGAGTGTGACAAGAATAGGGAATGGCCACTGTAAGTGGCTAATGTGTGGAGGGGGCGGGTCCTAGAGATAATCGAGCGCGCGTAATTAAACATCTGTGGGAAGGAGACGGAGACAAATATCACAACCTGCTATGTGCGTCTGAGCAATGAGCAAGCGATCTATCGACTTGTTCTTCTGACCTGCGGCGCCGCTAGTGCCAGAGTCTACACAGTATCACAGTCGGATGATGATTCAGAGTCAGAGGTTTGTGTGACGAAAAAAGCCCGAACCCACCATTTTCGGGAAGACTGGCTGCGAGAATTCAGCTGGTTGAGGTACTGTAAGGAGACGAATTCCATGAACTGTGAATGTTGCAGTCGCTACCTTGTTCTAGTGGAATGTTATTGGCCAGTGCCCCTAATGTCTACATACATTTGTTAAGTATTGTTTGTAACTGTGGAATGACTGAAAGGTTACTAAGCACTTCGTTACTAAGCACGAGGCTTGCTACGATAGTCGGTGTTACCGGTGTTCAGAAGCAACACTGGTTACATCTCCCACTGCAGCACTCCCACTGCAGCACTCCCACTGCAGCACCCCCACCCCACCCCCACTGTCGATGTTATTTTTATTTTTTTTATTTTTAATCATTTAGTTCAGTTAGAGAACAGACACTATTAAACTGAACATGTCTGCTTAATAAATCGTGAGCCGAACGAGAGTCGCTGCACAGATCAGCAACAGGAGTCAGGTTTCATTTAGAGTGAGGAGCTGACTGACAAGGTGACTGCGGAATATTTGGTGTCAAAGCGAAATGTAAAAAAATTCTCGCTCTGTTCTGCTCGCTCCGCTCCGGTTGACATGTGCGGCCTTGCACATGTTAGTTTCTTTTTCAAATTAGCGCCAATTCGGGGCACAACAACAAAACAGTGCTGCTCTGCACCATTATGAATGCCCGTGCAAACGAGCACATTTTACGTTTGCTTTTAAATTAGAGATTTAAAAAGCCCCCGCCGGTGATACCGGTATTGCCGGTGTTGTCACACGTCAATTAACCGGTGGGAACATATCCTCACCGTCATATCCCTACTAAGCACTTTTTTTAAATTCCGAATGTATGGTATATTTTTTTCATATTTGTACTGTCATGACAGCGATGGTGCTGTCGGTTTACCTTGTTGTTGCATCTTCAAAAGTGCACAATAAAATGTGACACTGAATTTGAAACAGCACATTGTAATTTCTGTATCTATTGTCAAAGTATTTATTAGCAATACAGTGGAAATCAGTAGAAATGTGAATATCTGGTTAGCATGTTGATTTACGGTGTGTGCCCCTAAATTTTCTGGTTGTGCCCCTAAAATTTTCATTTGGGGGCCACTGTGCTCCTAGTGAAAAAAGTTAGTCTGGAGCCCTGCAATGTAAGTACCATGAAGAGCAAAACCACACAACTTGCTATGAAGCTCCTTTAGGTAATAGGGTCTGCCGCACTGCTCATCCCAGTGGAAAAGATGAGAGGATTCAGATTTCACGCATAAGAGGAGAGGAGGACATACTGGTATTCTCATGGCTTACATTTTCTCCCCGAAGCCTCCAGCGGGTCATGTAGATGAATTCCATGGTGTGGTCTTTACCCATGATCTCACCATTGCATAGAACATCTAGCTGCAGAAACAGTTAGTGATTATCAGATCTGTTTAATTGTATGGTAGTACAAAACACCAAAGCAAGTATCAAACAAACAAAACATAAACAGCAGGAATATGGTAAGTGATGAAACACAGGCAATGAAGTAAAAGAAACACACTTGAGTCCCAGACAAGAATATTTCATTTGTAGTGTTCCTATATCTGTCACAGTAATGTTCTGTTTAGTACGGAGGCATGCAAGAAACATAGTACACAGAGGCATAGTACATGACATGCAAGAAAAAAAAAGTAAATCGTGCGCACGATTTACTATTTTGCGCACGCAACACGCAATTTTCTTCTATAAACAAACTTCTTGTATTATTTTCATGTTATCACTGTGAAGCTGCTATGGTACAATCTGTATTGTAAAAAGCGCTATATAAATAAAGGTGACTTGACTTGACTAATTTCTTTCCCTCGATTTGCTAAATCGTGTGCACGATTTACTAATTAGATTTAGAAAATCGAGGGAACCAATTAGTAAATCCTGCGCATGATTTATAAATCGAGGGAACGAATTAGAAAATTGTGTGCACAATTTAGCCTACTATTTATTTTCCTGCATGTCATGTGCGGGGCTCCGCAGTTTAGTTTAACGTTCATGGATTTTTGGTTTGTTTCTCTTCAGTTACCTGTTTCCTTTGTTCTAGATTTCCGCCAGTCATTAATTGTCATGGACATTGATTAACGAGCACACCTGTCTGTATTTAGTTAATCACCTTGTCTATTTAAGTTCCTCATTTCCTTTCCTTCCTTGTCCAGTATTGTTTATGCCATGCACTCTGTCTCGTGTTGTTTGCTCTTGTTAAATAAACCTTGTTGTTATTTTGAACCATTTAATCTGCCTTCCTCATCATCATTGGTCTTGAATCATGACAATATCTCTAGCAATGCCAAATTCATGTTTAATTACCATGTACTGCTAAAACTTATGTTTATCCCACTATAAGCACTATAAGCTTTGCATAAATGTGCCTGCAAAATGCATAACAACATATTCATATAAACGTGAGATTTAAACAAAATGCAAAGGCTGTAAATTCCAACAAATCATTCTATCTTGTACAGGAAAATGGTAAAATACATAGACTAAAGATATCCACATGTTACCTCATACGAACTGGGAAGCTTTAACTTCAGACTTAAAAACTTCTTAATTGTTCCAACAGTCACTCTTGTTGAGCAGCGAATAAATTTTTTCATTAAACCCTGGAAAACAAATAAAAAAGACAACACATTTTCAAAATGTGTCTCAGAATATTAGAATGAGAATTTCTGAAAGATCATGTGACACTGAAAACTGGCTGCTGAAGATTCAGCTTTGCCATTACAGTAATAGAAAACCAACATTTAAAAAACTGTATCTAAATGGGGACTACAGATGAAAATTATTCTGTATAGGTAAATCTGGCACATTTACATGATGGACTTAAGTGATCATGTTAATTATTGTGCATTGTCCCTTTTAAAATAAAGAATGAAGAAATAGAAAATGTTTCTGTACTATTAAGCTGTAACCTCAGTTTCCTGATGGAGGGAATGAGATGTTGTGTCAAGACTGACATTATGGGTCGCACTTGGGAGCCGCAAACACCTGTGACAAGCATCCTTGGGGACACCTCTGATTCTTCCGAAAAATTCTTCGCTGTGTGCAAGTAGAGCACCCGGCTAGTTGCCCGCAGCTTACCTGCCCATACCTAACAACACACGGTAGTGATGCGTGGGTCGACTCGTAACCCGCGGGTCGGGTTGGGGCGGGGAAAGAAATTGTCACTTTATTTGCAGGGTGGGTTGGGGCGGGTCATTAAATTTTTTTTTAAATCCATGTGTTGCGTGCAATTTCCGGCCTATATCAAATATTTGGGAATATCTATTTTCATATTTTTTATTAGGTTCTTTGATAAGGTTACAATACGAATGCCTTTGCAACGTAACTTGCGTGATATCCCCAAACCTTTGGCGTCACGTGACACGTCACGAAAGCGGCGCGCCAAGCAGCTCCCGCCGCCAGCCACGACAACAAGAACGGAGAAATAAAAGTGAAGATGGAAGATGAGGAGTGGGAGAAATTGAGGTCGGGAATTTACATAATTAAAAGAAAAAAAAGGTCAGGCTGCTAAATCTAATGTTTGGGACCGGTTCTCAGAAATAGTTACAAGAGACAACAGCAGTATTGGCTACGTGAAGTGCAACTCGTGTGAAAAATATACAAACAGGAGAGCCACAAAACATTATTTGGGCGTGCCAAATAATTTCATAAAAGCGGGACCCGCCGGTTGGAAAAAAAGCCGACCCACGCATCACTAACACACGGGACGAAACTGGCTCAACCCGAAAATTGAAAAATCTTGAAAAGGTATTAGGTGTGGCCGAGCCAACCACTCTGCAGTAGTGTTGTTTTTGGCGGCCTGTTTTAATTTTAGTTTTAGTCTAGTCTTTGTGTCAAGCTGTCATTTTAGTTTTTATTAGTTTTAGTCACGTTCATACTCTTTTTAGTCTAGTCTAGTTTTAGTCGACGAAAACTGATGACATTTTAGTCTAGTTTTAGTCGACGAAAGACATAGTCTAGTTTTAGTCAATGAAAATTTTATTTTAGTCTCTTTTTAGTAATGCAATTCTATTTAACCCAGTCAATATAGTATAAGTACCTAGTAGTATAGACGAAACCAAAATTTTCTTTTAGCCAAACCCATTTCAAACAATCTTATCTTCTTATAGTTATCTTATTATATTATTGTTACCTTATAGACTCAAGAATACATCCATTCCAGACATGGAAGATGCTCTGATTTGAATTTACAACATATTTATTTTACCAACCAAACATGTTAGAAGTAGCCTACACACATGATGAAATGAAACTTTTTCCAAATGTCATTTCTTCTTTTTCTCCCAAAGACGAATCCCTTTCTCTGTGTCAGACTTAACTTTGTTTGTTGTCGTTTATGCTAACGCCTGTTTCACACATACTCCGTTTGCAGTGCGTATGTGGTGCGTATTTTTCCCAAGGGGGTAATCCACCAGCCGGAAACTGAAGTCTCCCCGGGGGCCGCCATTGGCTAACAAGCCTTCACCTGCTGTTAGCATTCCATTGACTCCCATTCATTTTGGCGTCACTTTGACAGCGAATAACTTTACATCTGAGGCGTTTAAAGACTCCATTTGTCCATCGTTTATTTCCAAAGAAACACGACAATGTATAAAAGCAGGGCTCAACATAAAAAAAAATCCCCACTGGCCCTCGGGGCCAGTAGATCAGAGTTTTGCTGGCCCCTTCTATATTTTTACTGGCCCTGAAAGAAATATAAGGAAAAGCACTTTTCCATTAAACTGTATTGATTGTATACATTAGGATTAATCAATACAGCCAATGGAGGAATTAAGAGAGAGCCCCTGGAGAAATGCAAAAATAACCAAATGTCAGCGTGCAGTAGATTATCTGTCAATACCTGCTCTCTCCTCATCTCCATCACTGTTACTTATTTAAAGCTAAAGTTATTCATTCAAGAGCTGTGAGTGATTTTCTTTTTGCCTTTTGTTGTTTGATTCGGAGTAATGGCTCAATCGTCAGCATGTTTATTAGACGGCTTCCCCTTTAAGAACGAGTGCAGATCTAATAGTCTGATGCTATATTTTAATGCACTTTAACTACGATGCACCATAACTACGTCCATTTTAGACATAAACTGTTTAAGTGAATCTCCAGCCGGTCATTTTGACACATTTTTGTGTACATTTGATCGTTTAGACGCGCACATGAAGCCCAAAGTATAATTTGCTTGTCTCGTTACGGTCTGTTTCGGAGCGCGCGCCGCATTGGGAACAACATCTCTTGTGCAGATTTTTGTGCTTTTAATAGCTCTTTTTATTATTAAACGCGTCCCGCGATTTAGAAACAGTAGAGACTGCATTTTACAACAATCACCGATCGTGCTGATTCTGTCTTAAAGTTTGAGCTTTAAGGAGAAATGACAGCGTAGGCTACTTCTGCGAATGGAAGAAAGTTGCGCTAGACAGAATGCGGCTGTAGTTTTTAATGGTTTTACCTCAAATATTCTATAATCTTTGGAGGCCGAAATCTAAAATAAAATCAGACTAATATCACAGATCTAAAGTGTAACCATATAGGCTACGTTCGAATGTTTAGTTCTGTCCTCCGTCGTCATTCATTAAGCAGAGCTGTCGTGTTGTGCGCGCTGTGGCGCGCGTGAGAGATCTCTCTCTCTTCTGAACTGCGAATAGCAAAAATGCATCACAGACAAATGGTTTAATTTTATTATATAGGCTACATAAATGACTGGCGACTAATCGAGATGGTAAAAAAACAAAAACAATAACGTCTTTATAGCAATAATAAATGATAGGCCTATGTGTATTTCTCCAGTACCGACAGCAGAACAGATAACGTCCGAGCTTATCGATATAGCAGTCTTTCAAAATTCAGCCCCGGGGCCCGTATAATACCGGGTTTCGGTACCCATCCCTACCAGGTGTAGGCTACTGTGTTTTCCATGACACTAGGGATGTCCTCTTTCTCGTATCAGCCTCGTAGTTCTTTAGACATTTTAACACGTTATATAAATAACCTGAAGTAACATTGACACTCTTCGCGCCACTGTGTATGACGTTTGCTGTTTGTTTTGCTGATGGCCAGTCGCGGGCCAGTGATTGGCCAATCAACTAGCCCGACATACACTTTTACTGGCCCCGGGCCATCGGGCCATTGCTTATGTCGAGCCCTGATAAAAGGCTTCATTACCTTGTATCTTACGTTATGGCCCCGTAGAAGCAGTTTTTGTAAAAATAGGCTAACGATTGCGTCATAACACGCGACTCTCTGTCGCACAGTAGAGAAATTACCGTACAGACAGAAGTAGAAGCTTGCGTGCAATCGGGGGGACGTGGAGGCATAAAGTCAAGGGAGAAGCCCATAGAGAGTTGTAAAGTTGCTCCTGCTGCTAGCTCATGGACAGCTAATAATCACGATCTCCGGCTCTGCAAGATTCGGAAGGGAATGATTCAGATTCCTCTTGGCGCAGCTACTAGAAGATGTACAACTGTGAGACAGGTTGCTCACGTCACATCTACGTCGTCAAGCTCAGTTTGAGCCTGCGCAGTGCACCTTGGCAAACAGGAAGTGAGTGCTTCTAATTGACTTCACTTTTCTCCGTTGAAGTCTATGGGGTCGCTGTGTCCATTTCTTTTACTGTCTATGTATGATTTTTCCCCGCACCCATGTTAATAGGTTAGAGCCTATGGTTAGAGCGCTCACACCGCACGCGGATGCGGTCCGGCAATGCGCTCCAGGAGCGGTGCGTGCATAACAGCAGAGCAGAGATCTACACAGTACCTCAACAACGTGACATAATGGATGAAGGCTAAAAATATTGATTTGAAATAAAAAATTGAAAATAAATGTTGTGATTGTGGTCATGGCCGTAGCCAGCTATGAGGTCACCGAGGTCCGGACCTCGGTCATTTTTTTACATTCAAAAATAACATGTCAAGCTCTCTGAATGATTAATTAGCCGTTTAAACCGCCTCATATGAGTGGTTGCAATTCATGTTGCTGCGAGAAGCTAGCGCAAGTGAACGGGGCTTGAGAGCGCGCGTGAGTGAGAGCGCGGGTGCCAGATCAAGTGTTGCCAGATCCACCTAATGGAAAGGTGGCAGTAGCTAGTCTTCTGGACCTGTTTTTCTGATTTAATGTGACACGTTAGGAAGTTATTCAAGTGGAAAGTTGCATGTTAGGGTTAGTGATATATTATCCTTATTTCCAAAACACAAGCTTCGAACTTATTTCGGATTTGTCAGTGAAAGTGTTAACGGCCGTAAGAACTAACGATATCTATGGATTTTTAAGGTAATCAGCTAACCTACTAAGTTCACTTTGTTATTGGTGTTTTATGCTATTTAAATATCTAAACGTTAGTGTGAAGAAGAAAAATTTAAAAACTTTTAAATATCAATCTGCACATGCGAGGGACATTGGTTATGCTCATTTTTGCTTGCTCCTTTTAAGTTATCTTGAGTTAAACCGCAAAAAAATTCATGAAGCACATACAAAAGACCTGAATCGGAAGCGATGTGATCTGTTTTCCGGCTTGGTCACGTGACGCTCGGCATAAAGCTACCACATTCGGTAAGACAAACGCAATGATCATCGTGATTATCTGTAAGAAATAACACTATCAAAAACAATAGCATAA